GGCCGCCGCCTCCCCGCCCGCTCCCGCCTCAGCCTCCGCCTCTGGCCCAGGCGCCCGCTCCGCCATCCCCCCCTCCCTGGTTACCAGCCTCCCCCGTTGTTAGGAGCCCGGCAGGAAGTGGCGCGCATCTTCCGCGCCGCCGGGAAAATTCTCACGGACTCTCATTGCCTTGCAGCGTCAAAAGAAGACCGAAAGCGGAAATTGCGCATGCGCACAACAGGCACATGCAACCACCCGTTTTCTGCTTTTCTGTTAAAACTTTCTAACTTCGTAGAGACGGAGGGAGGGGCTGAAGGTCTGAGGGTAACCCCGGGAAGAGCCAATTGAACCCGTAGACCTTGGGGAGTGAGGAGCTCCTTCCTCCACACCTTTATCCTGAAAGCATGCTGGAGATGATAAGGTAAGGGTGGGAGCTGTCAGGTGAAGGTATAGGTAAGGCCTGGGTCTGACCTCTCAGACTGGATTTGGAGAGCCCTTGAAAAGCGTGCCACCAGGCTTTAAAGGGGCAGGGATGCCACACTGCCAGAGAGAAGAGGAGGGAAGGGAAGGCAGCCCCAAGCCGGGAAACTTTTATTTGCTGTACATTCGAAGGTCATATCATACTTTTCACACCAGTCCAAGTCTGTGCCCATGTGTCCACTCAGGCTCAACTCTGGCCTCGCTGTTGTCGCTGCGAATTATCTTCCTCTTCTTCCTGTCCCTCAGGTGGTGGTGGGGATGGCTCCTCTTGTCCTGAAGAGGATGCCAGGAGCTCCCCGGTGGATGCTGCCAGGCGGAAGACCACCGGGATTTGGGCCAGGGCTGGGTTGGTCTCCTGCAGGCCCTGGATCCACTTGGCCAGTGTAGCCTGGTCGTGGGCCCCCGCCATGCATATGGCAAAGATAGGGCCTTCCTCCACTGTTGGGAGAGACAGGCCCTCAGTTTGTGCAGTGGGGACTGGAGCAGTCCCCCATCTCATGTCTACAGCCCTTCCAGGCCAAAGGTGGGAGCTTTAGGTTCCCTTTTGCCTTTGCACAAGATATATACTCTTCCTAGGCTGCCCATCCCATGCTTCACTTGGGTGATGCCTTCTGGTTCTTCAAGATTCTACCAGAAAGTTCTCCCAACTCCCCAACTGAGGCTGGGTGGTGTGCTCCTCCCCTGAGACCCTAAGAATATAAGCTGCTTTTCCCCCCAAAGGCCCTGTCCTGGTCAGACTCCATGGCCAGTAGAGGTGCTCCATGACAGGGCCGACAGGCCTGGAACCCCTGGGTGTGTGTGCGCATGCACACGCATGTGCTTGGATATCTGCTGGGTCTCAGTCTGGACCCCACCCCTCAACCCCAGAAGTCACAGCTCATCCAGTGCGGTGTTTGGAGTCCTGCTTATCCCAGTTTTTACCTTCATTGATGTCAAACTCGTAATCATCCCAGCCACTTCTCCCATATTCCAGGTCCAGCTGCATCGGGTAGTAGAGGTTCCATTCCTCTGGAATCTCCTCTGCTTCCTACCCCGGGGTGGTGGTGGTGAGATGCAGGCAGGGTCAGAGGCCCTGCCTCTGATCTTGCAGCCACCTACAGCTTGCCCCCTACCATCACCAGGAACTGCCCCCTTCCCACATTCCGTGAGCCCTCACAAGCCCTCAGGGCAGTGCCAGCCCCCTCCCACCCCCACTTGTGCTTTGGGCCCTCACCCTCTCCTCGGGGGGCAGCAAGTCAGCTCTGAGGATGTGGTAATAGACACATTTGTTGCGGAGCCACAGGGAGAAGGGGCCCTCGACGAAGATAGGTCGGGCTGGGTTGTGGCGGGCCAGTGCTGCCTGCTGATCAGGACTCTGGATTCCTGGTATGGAAACATGCCCGGGGGCCCTGGCTGAGGGTCTCTGTCCAGAGGCCCAGGGAGTCCACCCAGCAGGCCCGGTAAGAAACCAGCTGCCCCATGTACAGGGCCTTACCTACGATGTGCGGCTCGGTGGGATCCGCTGTACCTGTGGAGTCTTTGGATGAAGGCATCTGCAGGCAAGAGCAGGGGTGGAAGCTGGTGACCCCCAGCCCCCAAAGAGGAGCCAGGGAGAGAGAAATGGGGAAGGGGGATCCCAGCGAATCTGGAGCCCATCTACTGGGCCTCATACATGTCACTCAAGCCTACCCCGTCCTTGCATCTATCCAGTTCAGCATCATAGCTGCCAACGTTTAAGATGTTCACATAGCAGGAACCTTGGAGCCCGCTCACCTGTGTTAAAATCTGAGCTCTGCCAAAACTGTATGACTTTGACCAAGTCATTGTGCCTCAGTTTCTCCAATTCAAATGGGGATTATAACAACACTTAATTGAGATGGTTTTAAACCACTGACAATGCCTGGCACATAGTTAGTGCTTAGTGCTTGTGAAATTTAGAAAAGAAAAAATTACACACACAGAATACCCCAGAAAGGAGACACAAGAAGCAGGTCACAGTGTTTTCCTCTATAGAGGACAGGGAGGGAAGGAATAACTTTTTTTACCTTCTTAATTTTACATTCTGAATGTTCAAAAATTAAATGAAATTTAATTTTTAAAAAAATGCAGATACGCTCTGATCGAAACATCTGAGAGTGGACAGCTGCTGGCACACACATCATCCATCATTTCAGGTTAAAAGTAACAGATGGATCAATGGGTCCAAACACAGAATGGACCCCCAACCATAGTATTAAGTGAAATCAGCAAAAGGCAAGATGCAGAATGTGTGTGATGCTCTGCCACTGGAGAAACACTTTTAAAAGTATACTTTTTGGGGTGGTAAAAGTGTATGTTTTGCTTCTGGGCCCTTTTACTGGACAATATATTTATACTGACTTTTTGTTTAACACTGGATTTTTTTTTTTTTTTAACATTTGATCGTATGTTTATCTCTCATGCTATTAATCTCTAATGGTTCTTATTAGCAGGAATACATGCACTTATTTGACTTGCCCATCAGCATACATAAATAGTTTTGACATTACCAATAATCGTAATGCTATGGGATTAAGTTCAGGATTTCTCTGCAGATCTTGTTTGTTAGAATACAGGCCATACCACTAAGGTTGGGCAGTCAGATGACAGTAACTCAAAAGGACTTTCTCACTGGTTATGCTATCAATTAGACATTTAGCCACATCCATTTGTGTACAATTTTGGTGGGTTTTTCTTATTTTTTTAATACACAAAACATAGTTTAATAAAAGCTAATCCATATTAAATAAACCCACATCTCTCTTCCATTCCTGTTTTTTCTACCCCAGCTCCTCTGCCCAGAGATGATGATTTCTATAAATTTCTGACTTTGCATTGTTTATTTTTGTGAAAATAGGCAAATAGGTATATGCAGTTTTATTTCCCCTCCCTTCTCACACTGAAGGTAGCTGACTGTACCACCGTGTGTACTTCATCCTTTTGCTTGTTTCTGTCACTAATCTTTAAGGTGCCACAGTCTACATGCACTTGTTGAATATGTAGATTGTTTCCATTCTAAATCTTGGTAGCATTAGTGGTCATTTACCATAGCTTCAGGCTCTCTGTTTGTATTTTTCATAATGAGATGGGGAAATAGAATATTTAAATACAAAGGATATATGTGCAAAAAAAGTATCTACTTGTAAACACATGGCGTCTCTCTGGAAGGGGACACAGATGTGATCACCTCTGGGGGAGATGGGGTTGAAAGGCCAGGAGACGAGGGAACTCTTTACTGTATGTTCTTGTGTACTGTTTGGCTTTTTAATGCATTACTTTAAAAAATGAAGCAATGAGTTAAAAACTACCCTGCAATATGTTGCTACACTCAAGGCCAAGTCTCCATCTTCTCTCACCTGGACATTACATCACCCACTACCTTACCCCCTCTGTCCTTCCCCTACCATCCAGCACCACCCACACGGCCACTAGAGGGTACTTTCAAAATCACGACTCCTTCCAGAAACATGGCTTCCCCCCATCCCTCCTCTTGGCTCTCTCCTCACCAAAAGGTTCAAAACTCCGTCCTCCATGCTGCTTCTCTTCAATCCCAACTTGCACCAAAGGAAGCTCAGCATCTTCCTCTACCCTCCAAGCCCTGGCTTATGTTGCTCCCTCTGCCCGGAATACTCGCCTCGCCTCTCCTTTCCTGCCTGAGCCCAGCTTACCTTCTCCTCCAGGAAGCCCTCCCCACTCCCTGCCTCTTCTGGGCTACCATGGCCCCCAGTGCTTCTGCACCTCAGAACCAGTGGCTCTGTCTGTTATCCGGCATCCGCCTCCAGACAAGTGCTACGAGGGGCTCTCCTTGGATCCCCCATGTGGCCTGGCGTGAGTGGGGCCCTCAGGAGAGGACATGAGGGGGTATGGAATATTTCATCCAGTCGTTCAACAGCTGCTGAGTGTCAGCTTTGTGCCAGATTCTGTGCTGAGCCTTGGGTGACACGGGGAACTGAGTCATACTGAATAAGTGACCAAGCTCAGTACAGGGCAGGGGTGGTTAGGAAGGGGACTGAAAGAATGTGAAGTCCTGGGGAAGAGTGTTCCTGGCTAAGGGAACAGTGAGCACAAAGTGTACAGGCCTAGGAGGGAACTGGCACAGATCACTCAACAGAAAGGAAGACAGATGCCTGGAGTATAGTGCATGTGGGGAGTGGACTAGAAGCAGAGGGCAGAGGTCAAGCTGCAGTGAGGAATGAGGGCCATAGGAATCCAGTGAAGGGCTCAGTCCAGAATCATGGTCTTTTGGGCTGAGTGAAGGGGGCTCCAACCCACAGTGGCAGCTGAGGGTGTAGATAGGGGCGGATACCTGGTAGACGGTGACCCTGGCGCTGAGGTCGGGTTCCATGTGCCGCAGGCCCAACCTGGCCAGGTCCACGGGGTCCTGGGGTAGGTCCTGGGGCATGGGGAAGGGGTTGACATTCTTGAAGCCGGAGAACCACAGCCTCATGCGCACGAACTTGAGCATGGGATAGCTTTTGCGCCCAAATATCTGAAGCAGCAGGAACTCCGTCTCCTTGTTGGGCATTACCCCTGTGCAAGGCAGATGGCAGCACAGCCTCAGGGAGGGGGCACAGAAGGGAGATGTGAGGGATGGGAGCCAGCAGAGGGGTCCAGGACCAAGAAACGTGGGGAGGGCCAGATTGAAAAAACCAGAGACAGAATTGAAGTCAGAGAATTGATGGTAGAGAAGGAGGAAAGAAATCAGAATTTAAAGGAAAAATTAGAGGGATAGAAGAAAGAGATGAGAGACAGAGAGAATGAGAGAGAGGGGGAGGAGGTGCAGGCCAGAGAGGGAGGAGACAGAGCCACGGAGCTATAGAGGGGCCCAGACCCGAGAAGGGGACAGCCACGCCCCTGCCCCGAGCCTTCTGGCCTCACCGTGGTTCTCCATCTGCTCCAGGATGGCAATCCCGCACTCCTGCTGCCGTGGGTAGTGGATGAAGATTTTCTGAAAGATGCTGCGAGGCCTGAAGACGTCCTTGGGGAAGATGTCCAGCAGCAAGTTGTAGACGGCCAGGTCCTGCTCGACGCCGTACTCTCGCATCTTGCGCAGGGCCAGGTAGATGAAGTCAACGTGGCCCCGCTTGTGCACGTTGTGCTGCCCGAAGTTCTGCATGGCCTGCACAAAGCTAGCCTTGTCCCGCGCTCCATCCGGTGCCTGCCTGAACAGCTCCTCGTGGGGTGCCAGCGCCCTGGCCGGCCGCCGCGGGGGCTCAGGTGGGTGAGGCACCAGAGATGAATCAGATTTGTGGGTGGTTGAGCTGCAGTGGAGGCCCCTCAGGGCCTGGGGGGACACCTGGGGACAGAGAACTATTGCTGGAATCTGGCACTTCCCAGTGCCCCTAGGGGATTGCTGGGCTGGCTCTTTTCTGGGAAAAGTGCCAATGGACATCCCTAAGGGCCTCTGAGGAAGCTTGCTGTGGTCACAAACCCAAGGTCAGGCACCATTACAGACAGAAAACAACGGTGAAACCCCCACGGAGGCAGCTGGGCAACATCTACTACAAGAGCACACACGCCCCTTCTGCACTCCTGCTTCTGGTATTTAAATATGCCCGCTCTAAACACACCTACACCAAATGAGTTTTGTGCACCCGCTGTGTCTGTGGAAATGGCCCCAAGGTGCATTGGTAAAGAAATGATAAAGCAAATGGCCGTGAGCTTAGACAAAGCACCTGCTGCTGTAAAAGTCACTGAAGAGGTCTCGTGTGATTTGAGGTGAGCTTCGAAGTATACTGTTAAATGAAAAAGCAGGGTGTGAAACAGTATAGGTTCCCATGTGTGTAAAAATCCCAAACTTCCATATAATAGATCCTCATTGTTTGGGAATTCCGTATTTGCAAAGTTGCCTACTTGTTAAAATGTACTTGTAATCCCCAAATCAGTACTCCCTCATGGCACATTCCCAGTCATTTGAGGACACGTGCAGTTGAGTCCCCTGAGGTTGAACGAGGGGATGCCTTCTTGTTTCAGCTCTCACACTGTCAACCAGTGTCCTTTTAGAGGCTTATTTAGTGCATGTTCCTTGCATCTTTTTGTTGGTGATTTTGCTATGGAAAATGGCCCCTAGCGTGCTAGGGAAGTGCTGCCTAGGGTTCCTGTGTGCAAGAAGGCTCTGCTGTTGCTTACAGAAAAAATACATGTGGCTGATAAGCTTCATTCGGGAATGAGTTAATAATGCTATTGGCTATGAGTTCAATGTTAGTGAATCAACAATATATTAAATAAAGTGTCTAAACAGAAACACACATACAATAAGGTTATGTATTGATTGGTTGAGGAAAATGACCAGAGGTTCGCAGGAACCCTGGGAGCAAAGGTTTAGTAATCGCTATTTCAGTGCATGCAGCAACTTTGTAGACCATAACTACTGCAAGTGATGAGAATTGAGTGTAAGTATATATAATTTTGCTTCTATGAAATATCTCTGGGAAGAAATAGAGTAAGTGGGTAATATCTCTTGCCTCTAGATAAGGGAGCTGAGTGGTAGCAGAACAGGACAGATGCTTGTCATGATGTCGCATAAGAACTTTTTGAATTTTAAATTATATTGCCCACTGTACCTAACTGTATTACCTATTCAAAAGATAAATTTCGAAAACTGAGTTAAAAAAAGATAATGCAGATTTTGGAGTCAGCAGGAGTCTCAGCTTGATTGTCCTCTGCCAGGTGACACCCACATTCCACTTTACTGCTCAGGCCTCAGTTTCCCCATCTGTTATGATGGCATCTCCCTTGGGTTAAGGAGGTCTTGCTTCCAGAGGGAGGAGTGCATGCTGCAGGGAGCAGACCAGATCTCTCTAGAACAGAAGTCAGCAAACTATGGCCTGTGGGCAAATCCAGCCAGCTGCCTGCATTTTCTAATAAAGTTTTATTGGAACACAGCCATGCTCATTGATTGTTTCTGGCTTGGGGCTGCTCTGCACTACAGTGGCAGAGTTGAGTAGCTGTGACAGAGACTGTGTGGCCCACAAAGCCAAAAATATTTACTGTCTGACCCTTTACGAAAAAAATGTGCCAACCCTTGCTCTAGATGGTACACTAACAATCTCATTAAATTTTAATTTAACTGAATGTTTAAATTAGAATGGTTATACATTCCAATAAGGCATCTTAAAAAATATACAGCTAATAAGAGCTAATATTTACTGAATATTCTTATGTTCCATGTGTTGTTGAGCACTTACTGTACCCATGTTACTGAGGCCCGGGGGGTGAAGTGGGATGCCTGGTGTCACATAGCTGCAGAGCGGCAGAGCTGGGACTGGAGTCTCTGCTCTGCTGCCCCCAACAGCTATCCTGAAGTCCCACTCAGATAAGGCAATGTTTAAAAAAAAAAAAAAAAAAGTGCTCATTTAAAGTGAAAGTGTAGGCAACTAATACTCCAGGTGGTATGTGCATAAGGCAAACATCAGAAAGGAAGCTCTAGAATATCCAAAAGAAGGGGAGGACCCTCCCCCCAAAGGATACAATGTAATGAAATGTACAGCGCAGGGCCTGGCACAAAAGAAGGGCTCACTCAGGGAGCTATTAATATTATCAGCACTGTCATCGTCATTGCTTTTGCAGTCTATGGTCATTGATCGGCTTGGGCCATCTAGTCACTTTGGGTAAAGGATGGAAGTTCTATTTTCTGCCTACATCTTTACAAGGAGATGTAGACTCCTACATACCCAGAGTCACCACCCAAATCTGCTTAGCTCATACATTCTTATTTTCAAATTCAACTCCTTCATACATGTGGGACCAGCACTTTTTAAAATGAGTAAGAGACATTCAGTTGGCCCCTTAGAGCAGACAGGCCAGCCCAGATCCCCCAGAGCTGGCTTCACTGGGTGGGTTATGAGGGTTTGGGAGCAAACTCCAAACCTGCCTCCCTCCACCCCGATGACTTCTTGGCTGGCGGTTACCTGAGAGAAGGGGCGTCCTGCGAGGGTGGTGCCACAGATGCCTCCCCAGCCCCGAGACAGGCGCCGGGCCAGCAGGTTGGCCTGGGTCCAGCTCATGCCTCTGCAAGTTGGACAATCACCTGGCCAAGAGAGAAAGAGACAGCATCAACCTGGCACCCTGCCTACTAACAGAGATGAGACCCCTCCTTTAGGCGGAGACCCCATTCCAGACTTCATGGCTGGCTAACTCACCAGCTCCGCTGGTTTCTCATCCACAAGATAGAGCTTAAATGATTGTTACAACCAAGACTCCCTGTTCTGCTGGGCCAGAGCCTCCACTATCTAGAAGAATGTCCTCCAGTAATAGTCCCTGTCTCTACTGGGTCATTCTTTTCATTTTTTAAACAACTTTATTCACATACCATACAGTTCACCCTTTTAAAGTGTAAAATTCAATGTGTTTTTCTTTTTTTTTTTTAGTACATTCAGAGAATTGTAATCTAATTTTAGAATGTTTTAGAACACATTAGCTATCACTCTCATTTCCCCTCATCCTCAATGCTGGGCAACCAGTAATGTACCATTTCTACAAATTTGCTTACTCTGGGTATTTCATATAAATGCAGTCATATGATATGTGTTCTTTTGTGGCTAGTATCTTTCACATAGCATGTTTTCGAAGTTTATCCATATCGTAGCATGTATCAGACCTCATTCCTTTTAATTGCCAAAAAAATTCCATTGTATGGATATAACGTTTTATTTATCCGTTCATCAATTGATGGACATTTGGGTTGTTCCTACTTTTTTACGATTATGACTAATGCTGCTATGAATACTCATGTAGAAGTTTTTGTGTGAACATGTGCTTACACTTCTCTTGGGTATAGACTTAGAAGTCATACTGCTGGGAATATGTTTAACATTTTGAGGAGACCCTGGAACTGTTTTCCAAAGTGGCTGCACCATTTCACATTCCCACCAGCAATGTATAAAGGTTCCAGTTTTTCCACATACTTATTATTGTCTTGCCCATACTTATTGTCTTTTTATTACAGATATCCTAGTGAGTGTGAAGTGGCATCTCCTTGTGGTTTAGATTTGCATTTCCCCAATGATTAATGATGCTAAACATCTTTTCATGTGCTTATTGGCCATTGTATATCTTCGCTGGAGAAATGTCTATTTAGATCCTTTGTCCATTTTTAAAATTGGGTTATTTCTCTTTTCATTATTGATGATATGTGTGCTGATGGAACTAAGTATTTATCGCCAGCCTTGAACTCCAGCCTCCATACCTGCCACTTTGCGTATACCCAGCTATCAAACTTAATTTGCTCCAAATTGATATCCCTGCTTAAACTTGTTCCTCCCCATCCTAACCAATGGCCCCACCATTCGTAGTCATTCAGGCCACAAATCTAAGAGTCACTGCTGTGTACACTATGTCCCTTACTCCCCCATTTAATCCATCAAGTAGGCCTGATGACTGATTACTTCCAAATCTATCCCAAATGCACCGATTTTTTTCCATCTGCAGGTGACCACCCTAATCCATGACCTCTTTCCCAGACCCCCACTTCTCTTCTTCCTTGCCTCCAGTCAGTTCTTCCCACCTTGGCCTTTAAAATGTGAACTAAATTCAATATTTTCTGCCTAAAATTGCTAATGGTATATCACACCTAAGATAAAATCGGACAGAGTCTACACCTCCAAATTCAACTCTTATCACTGGCAGCTCCATCTACACTTCCTTAAACAAGATATGTTTATTCTAGTCCCAGAGCCTTTGTATTTGCGTTTCCTTCTGTTTGGAAATTTCTTCACCCAGATCCGTCCATATTTGTTTCTGGTCATTCAGGTTTAAATACAAACGGGGCCTTCTTTGACTGCTGCCCCACTTCCTATCTAAAGTTCCTATCACTCTGGTAAATGGATTTTTAACAAATACTACTGGAATCAGCTGTTCTCTTTATTTCTGACTTGTTCAATGTCTGGCTCGTCTTCCCAGGAGGAGGGGGATTTTTGTCTGTCTTCCTCATTGCTGTGTCTCCAGCACCTGGGACAGTGCCTGGTATGTGGTAGTGCCTAACAAGTATCAGTGGAATGGGAAGAAGAGCTAAATTTCTACAAAACGTCTATAATCTATAAATCTGAACAAATCTGAACCCCGTAGTGTATCTATAGGAGCTCCGAGGCTGGCTGCCAGGATTCTTGGGAGAAATGGGCAAACGAGGGTTCGAATTGCAGCCTAGCTACCGACCTGCGGTGTGACCTCGCGAGAGGGCCTTAACCTCTCGGAGCCTCAGCTGTCCCGTTTGCAAAATGGGAGATTAAGGACGTGAGGAGGCGGGTACACTGAGGGAGGCCTTTACCCGAACGTCCCGCCTTGCACCCTAAGAGGTCACGGTGCCCTGGCCCTGCAGCAGGTCTCTCTGGGGCCACTCCCGCGCTGCCGGCTCAGAACGGGCAGCCCCGGGGCCCTGCAGTTTGTGCTCGCCTCCCCACGCACGACCTACCTACTCAAGCGGGCGGCCGCGGACTCCTGGCCGGCTGCATCTGGTCGCTGGGCGCTGCCATGTTGCCCGGAGATTTTCCAGGTCATGGGCCGCCAAATCGAGGAGACAGCAAATCAAGAACGCCAGTTTAAGGAGGTCCCGCCCCAAAGAGAGGAGCACCAATAGCAAGATGGAACGACCTCGGTGCCGCCTTGTAACGAGCCAGGCCCCACCCCTAACGAGGCAAGCCGCAACCCCGACCTGGGAATTAAGGAGTAAAGCCTGGGAGGAAGTGACTGCATCGTTCTCGGCGGGTGGGGGGACGGGGGAAGTTCGCGTGAGTCCAGCTAGCTGCCCCAGTTTTTCCACCTGAAATGTGGGAATAAAATATTAAGGGTGGCAATACCCACCAAGTGTGTGAGAAATGCTGTGTCTGGGTCCCTGAATTTGTACTTCTCCATTATGTGCGGCAGGTCCGTGATCCTCGGGTAATCCTTTTGCCTTCTGGCATGGTGACTGTAGAGATTGTGCATCTGGTATCCACCCCAATGGCTGTAGGGGCTAGGCAGTGGGGCAGAGGAGGTACCTGGGGCCTGGACGTGGCCAACGCGCAATGACTAGCCTCGCCCGTCCCTATGGCGCCCCGCTCGGGTGGTTCAGCCTCCTGACTCCGCTTTGCGCCAGATGAGCGTCTAGGCGCTCTGCCCGCGCGTGTTCCATAGCCTCGGGCGGGCCTGTGAACGCCTTGGACTCCCGCGAACGCCTTCAGGTAGCATGAGGGCCGGCCGGCGGGGCGGTGCCGAGCTCCCTTCCCTCCCACACCTGCCAACGCCTCCATTCCCTCCCCAGATGCCTGTCCACCCTCTCTCCCTGGCCTTCAGCGCCGTCAGGCGGTACAATCTGCTGTCGGTGGAGGCAACATCAACCTCACTCCATGAGTCAGCTGGGCCCGAGTGGATATTCTCCACTTGACTCCCATCCCTACTCTGCGCTCCTGTGGAGGCAGGGGGCCAGTAGCATGGGGAAGAGGGGTAGACATACCGAAGTTGTCCAAGTGAGGAAGGGACTCTTCCGGGAAGGTGTTCGGAACAAGGCTGGCTCAGCTAAGGAGTCCCATGGGTCTCTGTCTCTACCCCAGCCCAGGCAGAGGTTGACCCAGGGCCTTGAACCCTCCACGCCAGGCCCTAGCTACCCATTCCAGAGCTGTCCGGAATGGGGGCAGTGGTCAGTGGGCTCCCTGCTCCCCTTGCCTCACAGACTGTGGCTGATGCCTCTGGTTACCTGCTCCATAGCAGATGGGGGCCCAGCTGGGTGGGCCCAGGGTCCCCCTCACCTCTGCCTCCTTCCAGACCTGGTGCTGATCTTCTGCAGCTAGGGCATCAGATGTTCCTGGGTTATCATGCAGTTTCTCTTTTCAGCTTTCACTACTTCCAGTGAAGACCCTTGGAGACACCACCTCTCCCGCCCCTGCCTCCACCATATACTGACCATCTCCTGTGCGCCCCCATTACCATAAGCTCCATGAGGACAGGGAGATTTTGTTTGTTGCGTGTGTTGTCCCCAGCATTGGAGACAGGGCCTGGAACATGGTAGGTGCTCAATAGATGTTAGTTACAAAATGAATAAATAAATGAATGAATGTTCCTGTAGCTCATCCCAATATTTAAACTCTAGAAACTGTCCTTTGTGACAGCCCCACGTGACTGCCTTCCACATGCCTGACTAATTACTCTACCACTGCCTTTCCCATTTTTCCCCAGCCTCAGGGCAGGCTATATTACCTCCCAGACCTCTATGCCAATTTGTGTCTGCTCACAGCCTTTTGTCAATTTTGGGTACTTGGGTCTGGGGACATGTGAGGGCTTTCTTGCTCCTCTCCTGCATCCCCCAGACCCGAGTACCCAAAACTGACAAAGGGCTGTGAGCAAACCTTCACACTCTTGTCCAAAATTGGTTGCTGAGTACGGTGAACTGCCTCTGAAATTTGCTAATGGCCTTACTGAGTGGTGTGCCCATGGCTGCACCCTGTGTAGCTGGCATCGCTGTGATGTTTTAAAGTTTGAGGGGTGTCGACTTTGACAACGCTGGTCCTGGACATCCTCAACATCCTGCTGTCGAGGGCCTGAGGCGGGGGAGCCCTCATGTCCTAAAGCAGAGTGGGAAGGGATTGAAGAGGTGTGGAAGAGTTCCCTAAACTCTGCTGCAGACTTGGGCCCAGGACCAAAGTGGGGGAGGTTGTACAGAGGAGCTGGAGGCTGTGCCCATCTCACAACTAGAAGGCTCAGATTCACTCAACAAGCTTTTACGGAGTGCCTCCTTTGTACCAATCACTGTTCTAAGCCTCGAGGAACAGCAGTGAGCAAAGAATGATTCCTGACCTTGGGGAGCCGTCATTCTAGTGGGGGAGACAGACAAAAACCCATGTTCTGTAGAAATAATTTATACAACTATTTGCATCTTTAAAAAAATTAAGTGCAACTCTAAAACTGTCTAGGATATGATTTTGTCTATCTTCTTGTTAACCTTAATCTACTTTTGAACTTCAACCATGTTACCTTTTGTAATTAACAACATTTCTTAGTCATTTTTGCTTGTGTGTAGAGCTTGATTCTGTGTTCTCTGTGTTATTTTAGGTATTTTTAGATTTATGTCTTCTGTCATTCTGCCATCTCAAATAAACCATCAAAATACATTAATTAATCCAACAAATATTTATATATATTTTAAAACAAATACGTGTTGTATGCTAGATCCAGAGGGAAATATAAAATTAATTTGAAAAAGGAAAATAAATTTAAGTTTTCCAGGTGCTTAGAATTTGTTTCCAAATTCATGAAGTAAAAACATAAAATGCTACATGTGCCAAACAAAATGATTAATATTAATAAACAATTTTTTAAAAAGAAATGTTTTATAGCTTGAGCTGTGTGGCAATTACATGGTATATATGTATGTAAAAATTCATTGAGTTCTCCATTAATATTTGTGCATTTTAGTTTAAGTAATATCTCAATTTAAAAGTTTTTAAAAGCGATAATCGAGTCATTGAGCTATAATTTGCACACTTTTCTGTATGCATGATATGTTTCAAAAGTCTATTTAAGTACTTCACACCCATTAAGATGGCTATTATCAAAAAAGTAGAACCTAACAAGTGTTAATGAGGGTGTGAAGAAAGTGGAACCCTTGTACACTGCTGGTGGGAATGTAAAATGGTTCGGCCACTATGGAAAACAGCATAGTGGCTCCTCAAAAAATTAAAGGTAAAGCTACCATGTGATTCAACACCATATTCATAGAAGCATGATTCACAATAGTCAAAGTAACTCAAGTATCTATCAATAGATGAACTGATAAAATGTAGTATGTACATACAATGGAATATTATTCAGGTTTAAAAAGGGAGAACATCCTGTCCTTTTGTGAAATAAACCAGCCACAGTAGGATGAATAGTGTATGATTTCACTTATATGACGTCCCTAGAGCAGTCAAATGATCACTGAAACAGAAAGTAGAAGGGTGGGAGCCAGGGGTTGGAGTAGGGGAATGGGGAGTTAGTGTTTAATGTGGACAGAATTTCAGTCTTGGAGGATAAAAAAAAGTCCTGGAGATGGATGGCAGTATGCAACAACATAAGTGTACTTAAAACCACAGACTTGTACACTTAAAAATGGTAAATTTTATGTGTTTATTTTACCACAATTTTTAAAAAAGTCTACTAAAGATAAGTGATGAGAGAAAAGGTCAAATCGGATGAGAGGGGACTTCTGGGATCCCTGAGAAAGCCCGTTTTAGCTGTTAATAACCTAATTGGTTAGCTCATCAAATGGGCGCTTGGCAGTAGCAGAGGCTCCAGGTAAGGGCGGTTATCTGCCCCCATAAAGCCATTTCTGCAATCCTTGGCCTCCAAGACGCCAGACTCTGGCGAAGGGACAGGAAGATAGATACACGTAGCCACCCTTAGGATGCCTCAAGGACTCTGCACAGAAGAGGCACATCTGCCCCATCAGGATTCCTGTGATTGGCCTACCTGAGAAGCGCTGCAGCCAATCAGCTTCAGGTCCAAGGGAGGGCTTGTGCACCCCTCCCAGCACGTTGACAGCCACGTGGGCAGCTGTCAGCTTGCTACTGCTCTGTCAGACACGCCTAGGTAAGGCGCAGGCGCAGTTAGCGCTGCTCAGCAGTGGCGTGGGTGAGGGCACGCGTGGGTGGTGGCGGGATCGCCATCTAGCAACCGGCTTCAGAGCTCCCAGTGTCCATTCCTCTTGGGGCAGTTATGGCTCTTATTTTCTTACTTATCTTTGAGAAGTAATCCTTCAAACACAAGCATTTACATATATATTTTTTCTATTTATTTACACATACCAAGCAATGGTATGTAAGTTTGTAGACCCTTTAACATGAAGTCCACGAAACAACCCTCGGGAAAATAGAAGCTTCACAGTGGAGGATCTTGGCAGACTCCACCTTAACTAAGGGACCAAGGTTAATATCACCAGTGATGATTCACAGTGACATCATGAGCCCTCCCCCCAACCCCAGAAGGGAACATAACCTCTGTGGTATCCCTATATCCTTTCCAGCAATGCAAAAACCTCAATCTAATCAAGACAAACCAAATTGAGAGACAATCTACAAAATTACTGACCAGTGCTTTTCAAAAGTGTTGGGTTCATGAAAGACTAAGAGATTGCCACGGACTGGAGGAGTCTAAGGACACATGACAACTAAATGAAATAAGGCATCTTGGACTGCGTCCTGGAATAGAAGAAGGACGTGAGTAGGAAAATGAGAAATCTGAATCAAGTCTGTAGTTTATTAATAGTATTGTACTAAGGTTAAGTTTTTATTTTTATTTATTTATTTAATTTTTTAAAGTTTAAGTTTTTAGATTTAATAAATATGCTATGGTTATATAAGACATTGACAGTAGGGGCAGCTGAGTGAAGGGTATATTAGAACTCTATGCTATTTTTGCAACTTTTCTGTAAGTCTAAAATTATCTCACAAATTTAAAAATAAACTTAGGAAGCAGGCACTATTAATATGCCCATATTCCAGAGGAGGAAACTGAGGCACAGAGAAGTTAAGACACTTGTGCAAGGTCATGCAGCCGGGAAGAATCAGTGTGTCTTAAACCATTGCAATATGAACCTGGAGCCCCTACTCTTAACCACAGCACCACAGGGCCTTTATTTAAATGAAATGGAGTACTGCATATTCTGCCTTCATCTTTGTCTATCTCACTTGTTCCCTGCTGACGGAGCTATAAGGTGACTTGTTATTAAAAGGTCACTGTAATAGATGTTCTTGCACATGTGTCATTCTTCACTCCCACAATCGTACTTCTTAGGACTTGCTAGTCCAGAAAGTATATGAGATAGGGTTCTCCAGAGAAATGGAACCAATAGTAGATATATTCATTCTATTGCACATGGCATATATATAAAATAAGAGATCTAGTTACGTGACTATGGAGGCTGAGAAGTCCAAGATCTGCAGCTGGCAAGCTGGAGACCCAGGAGAGCCAACGGTATGAGTTCCGGTCAGAAGGTTGGCAGGCTTGAGCCCCAAGGAGTGTTGATATTTCAGCTCCAGTCTGAAGGCAGGAAAAGACTAACGTCCCAGCTGAAGGCGCTTGGGCAGGAGGAATTCTCTCGTACTCAGTGGAGAGTCAGACTTTTTGTTCTATTCACTCCTCCAACTTGAACTGGAAGAGGCCCACCCATATTGGGGAGGGCAATCTGCTTTACTCAGTCTACTGAGTCAAATGTAATTCTCATCCAAAAACACCCTCACAGAAACATCCAGAATAATGTTCGACCAAAAATATCCAGACACCCTATAACTCAGTCAAACTAACACATAGAATTAACCATCAGAAAAGGTAAGGACACTTGTCATTTTGAGAGCTGTTGACAAATTGCCCACACTCATCAGCAATGTTCTCATAGTCTTGGTCAAGTATTCTGATTTTTGCCAATCTGATCATCACCTGTCCACTTTTTCAAAAAAGCTTTCTTCTTCGACTAGATGTTTTTCCTACAAAACTTCTTGCAAAGCTCAAGGCGGGACAAGGCAGTGGGTAGCTGTAGAATGGCTTGGAATAACTGCAGCCACTGCCTATGACCCAGCCCCCTTTCCGGCCTCTGAATGGTCTTTTTGGGAGGGATGGAACGCAAATGCAAAGATGACCCCTAGTTCAATTGTCCTCTCTCTAGGAGGTGCTGGGAAACTGTGCCCTTCATTTGTGTGTGGTTAAGCACCATTTCAGACATATGGGTTCGAGTCCTGGCTCCATTCACTTTAATTTTATTTACACACTGAGCATTTTTTGAGCACCTGCTGTGTGGAGGCACTGTACTGGGCACTGAGGATAGAGCCGTGAACAAGCAAAACCTTGCCCTGTGGAGTTTCTGTTCTCACAGCATGATATAGATAATAAGCAAATAGGAGACAATAAGAAAAAGCAGGGAAAGGAGATGGGGAGGGTGCTTTTTAAAATCACAATTTTTATGGAGGTAGAAATTTTATTCCAGGTGCAAAAACACTTAAGGGAACAGCTCCCATCTCTCACAGCCATCCTATCACAATCAGTCTGGTGGTGGAGGATGCTATTATTTTAGAGCAGGTGGCAGGGAGAGCTTCTCTGAAGAGGTGACATTTGCATAGAGAAAGCATCTTGCAGAAATATGTCCAGGTGGAAGGAGCCGCCAGTGCAAAGGTCCTGTGGTGGGAGCTTGCTTAGGCACTCAAGAAATATACCCACAAGGATCTGAGAGCAGCAAGAGAAGTGTGACTCTGGGAGAGTGTCTTGGCCTCTCTGAACCTTGAGTTTTCTTATGTATAAATGTGCCTAAGAGTTTCCATCAACAGGGTGGTGGTGAGGATTACATGAGATTGTGCCTGGCACAGGGGTTGGCGTGGAATGAACCCTCCAGAAACAGAAGCCATTGTCAACAACAGCCTCTTCCTGTTCCCTGGAGGGGAAAGCTAGGTGAGGAGGAGGCTGGCACAGGGGGGCAGCCAAGATACGCAGGTCAGGAGGAAGGGGCTGCTACTCTCTCCAGAAGATACACAGGTACAGAGGTGTGAGTGAGTGAGTGAGCGAGCGAGCATGCATGCATGTGTGTGTTTGTGTGTTCTGAGAGTCATGAAGATTTTAGGGGGTCTCGTAAGGTTGAGAAATGGCAGGGTTTTTCTTTCATGACTGGTCTGGATCCTTTTGGAATCTACGTTCCTTACAAGAGGGGTCCCCAGCCCCTGGGCTGCAAACCAGTACCAGTTCATGGCCTGTTATGAACTGGACTGAATAGCAGGAGGTGAGTAAGCGAAGTTTCATCTACAGTTGCAGCCGCTCCCCAGCTAGCTCCCCATCTCCAGCTCAGATCATCAGGCATTAGATTCTCAAAGGAGCACCAGTCCTTGGTGCCAAAGAGGTTGGAGACCGCTGCCTTACAAGATCCCACCTTTTCATTTAGATGGAATGCTGAGTGGCTGGGGCCTAGAGCCTAGGAAACACGGATAGCAGCTGAGTGGACTGCACATCCGCAGCCAGTGATGGGGGAGTCCCTTGGGGTGGGGGCCTCGGGAATGTCATCAGCCCCCTCTCTCAGTGTCTACTCCTATCTCCTGGACAGAGAAGAGACAGTGTAGATAATACAGAGACATCGAGAGAAAAAAAACAGTGACGCTGAGAAGTGGAACAGAAACAGAGATGGAGAGATAATGGAGAAAGAGGAGACATGGGGACACAGAAGGACAGAGGCAGTGTGACAGGCAGATTCAGAGACAGAGAAACAAAGGGTGAGGCATAAAAGGTTAGGAGACCCAAAGGGAAGGAAATAGAGTGACGTAGAGACAGAGCATAAGCTACAAAGTCACGGACCCAGAATAGTAGGGGACGGGACAGACCCAGAAACCGCCGCCCTCTAGGGAGACCCCGGCTGCCCCGGCGCGGGGCGCGCCAAGTGCTCCCCTACCCCTCCCCCGCCCCCGTCGTGCCTGCGCCGTGACTTCAGAGTCCGCGCGGATTCTATAAATGGCCAAGCGGCCGCGGACCCGGAGGCAGGCCCGAGTGAGTCAGCGTGCGCGTCACCGCCGCCGGGTCCCCGCCAGGCCCCGCCCCCACCATCCTGGGCCGCCAGGGGGCGCGGGCCGCGGGTCCTCGCATGCGCAGTAGCAACCTGTGGCCCGCCGAGGGTCGCTCGCGTGGGCAGGATATCGGAATCTGCGCGTTTGAATCCTGGCTCCTCCACCCTCCTGCTGGTGTAAGCCCGAGCAGTCGGCTTCTCCTTTTTGTACCTCATATCTACCCCGCCTCATATGGCTGCTGTGAAGAATGACTTAACAGAGCCAATGCACTGAGTGCATAGCAGGAGCTAATTGTTAGTTCATTCATGTATTTTACTGTATCTTCAACATATCCGTACGTGCCGCAACTTGTCCATATTTGCCTTAGCCCAGCCCTTCTCAAATGGGGGAGATCTACCCTCTGCCATCATTGGGCAATGAATGGCTGGAGACACTTCTGTTAGTCAAGGCCAAGGGGGTGCTACTGGCATCTAGTAGGTAGAAACCCTGGATGCTGCTTAAGTTCCTACAATGCCCAGGACAGCCTCCTACCACGCAGAATTATCCATCCCCGAGGTCAACAGTGCTGAGGCTCAGAAACCTGCCTTAGCCTCTTAACATTACAGGCAGGGACCAGGTTCAAATTCTGCTCTGCCGCTAGTGAGCTGGGTGACACTGGGGAAGTGATTTCACACTCCCGTGCCTCAGTTTCCCCATCTTTAGATTGTGTATAGTAACAGCATCCACTTCTGAGTGTTGTGAGGATTGAGTTGATACATGTGCAGTGGTTGGAACAGGGTCTGACATAAAGGCTGCTGTCATATTAGCATTATGACAGATGTGTCCTTAGCTTGTGGCCAGCAAATTGTATGTCCTTAACATATTAGTTAGGCAGGTTGCTGACATGTCATCCAAGTGTCATTAACATGGCCTTGACATATGTGGCATAATGTGGGCATGTCACCCACCACTGTGGTCCAGGGGTGAGATCCAGCCTGATGCGGCTGCTTGCAAGTGTTCCCTCCAGGCCAGACTGGCTGGGACAGGAACATATAGGGGTGCCCATGACCTGGAACCTGCTAACACAGCCACCCCATGGCAACCATGGGTGGATGGGGAGGGTGAGATTCAGGATCTCTGCTCCCCCAGGATCTTATGAGGGACTGGAGGTGACGGAAGTAGGTGCCAGATTCTCAGCAGAAATAATGCCATTCTCTGAGTCCTCCCCTGTGCCAGGCACTACACTGAGCACATCAGAAGCCTTTCTTCTTCTTCTTCCTTTTTTTTTATGCCTACAGCACCTGGTATTCATTCCTAGGTGGTCTCCCATCCAAGTACTAAGCAGGCCTGACCCTGCTTAGCTTCCATGATCAGACCATTTTTCTTCTGATCCTCACAACACCCTCACAAGGCAGGCACTTATCATTAGCCTGTTTTACAGATGTGGCAAACGAAGCTCAGAGAGAAGGGACTTGCCTAGAGTTATGGACTGTTAGTGTCTGGAGTTAAAGTTACGGTGGTGCTCCTTAAACTACCACGTGTGGCAGTCCTGCCTCAAGGCTGGAGAGAGACACAGAGATGGACTTAGAGACATAGATAGCCTCAGACAGACACAAAGAGACAAGGAGACTCAGCCAAAGCCTCAATGAACAGTGGGGGGTGGGGAGAAGTGGGGAAAGGTTGGTCTCTGTCTGGCTAAGGCCACCCCCACCAAAGAATAACCCAAGCCGCCCCCCTAGGTGGAAACAATGACACAATCAGCTCCCAATACCAAGGCCCTGACATCACGAGGGGGGGTTGGCTGAGGTGGGGGCACCCCGCCCCTTGGCAAGCTCCTGTGACCAATGGGACAGCCTTGGAAAAGGCCCGGGCCGCCTCCGGAGCTTCAAAAACGTGTGAGGAGGGAAGAGGGTGCAGACGGAGTCTCAGCTGCTGCCGCGGTCCTCGGTCCTCAGAGCCACCGTGACCACTGCTACCACTGGCCAGCATGTCCTCTGCTCATTTCAATAGAGGCCCTGCCTATGGGTTGTCAGCGGAGGTCAAGAACAAGGTAGGGCTGGAGGGCCTCCCCTGGTCTGGCCCACACTGCGCTGCCAGGCCAAAGGCCCCACTCTTTGGGTTCCCTGGACCCCCTCCTGCTTATCCCATGTGACCTGAGAGGGAAGAGGGACAAGTATGCTATAGGGGCTGCCTTCTTCCCCCTCCTGAGCATCCCAGAACCCTCAGCTATTGTTGGTGGTGGAGCGGGGGGCACACAAGCAGCCACAGGTAAACAGAGGGGGTCTTCCATTGCAAAGACCCCACTTGATCAGGATCCCTTGTTAACCCTTTGTTTGCGTGGGGGTCTGGGGGAGAACCTGTTGACCTTCCCCATTACCCCAGCCTGACAAAGAAGTTGGGGAGCACTTGAGAACTGGGGTTCCTGAGAGGTAAGGCCCAGAAAATGCAGGAGATGGTGATGGGAGAAGGAGGCAGCTGAGGAGGGCAGAGAGTGGGCATTAGAGACAGGGCAGGGGTTTCCTAATTTTGGAATTAGGAAGACACTGAGACACCACCTCCATGCTATGAGTGGGTAAACTGAGGTTCAGAGAGGAGAGGCAAGTAGCTAGGGTCCTGCAAAAGGGAAGCGCAGAGCTGGGGCCCTTCACTCACCTCCTCTACATCAGAATGCAGTCAGCTTCTCCAAGGCACACACTAGAAGTCCCCAACCCACTGGAATGCTCCCATGAGGCCTGCAGGGGAGGAGTCCCAGCCCCATTTGACAGAAGGGAACACTAAGTCGCAGGGTGGCTTTTGCCAGGGGCCTGCAGCTAGGAAGTAGGGAGCTGGGATTGGCAACCGGGGTCGGGGATCCTAGTAGCTGGAAGAGGGGGCAGGTTGGGGGGCGGGTGCTCAGGCTGGAGACACGTCCCAGCACTGCCCCCACCCCCCCGCCAGCGCCGGCCCCCAGAGCCCAGCGGAGCCGCCGCGCCATATAAGGCGGCCTCGGGGAGCCCGGCCCGTGGGGCCTCGCTATATAAGGGCCGGTTTGCTTTATAAAGTCGTGCTCGTGGGGAGGGGGAGTTGTGGGGAGGGGGACGGCAGGGCTGGGGCCAGGTGAGGGGGCTGCCCCCTCCCACCTCCACCTCCCCCTCCCACTCCCACAGGAGAAGGGACAGCCGGGTCCTCCAGCGTCTGGGAGCCTGTCTGGGCTGGGGGCGGAGGTTTCTGGAGAAACGGAGATTTTGGGAACCTGAGACGGGAGAGAGACAGATGGGGGAGGGCAAACTACGAACGAGATAAGACTGAGACAGGCATGGAGGGGCAGAGGGGGAGATGGACGAGCCACACTCCCACCAGAGGCAAGGAACCTGGTGTCTGAGCCCGAGGGTGATCCACAGGTAGACCAGCCATGAGCCCCATCCACCCTCAGCCAGAACCCCAGAGATGGAGACGGGAAGACAGACATAGCTGGGGTTGTGGGGAGAGAGACAGATAGACACAGCACACAGGGCCAGGAGCAAGACGAAGACAAGCCTGGACCCCCAGCTAGAGAGAAGCCCCAGAGATGAGGACCTGGAATCTGAGAGCCTGAGATGCAAGACCGAACAGTGCCCTTCCAGGCAGCACTCAGAAGCATCTTCCTTGCCTGCGGTGCCCAGTCTTCCTGTAGGGGTATGGAGGGAGGCAGGGCCAGGGGAAGCAAGCCCCAAGTTTGGCTTGGAGGGGGAACCAGGAGGCTAGGCACCACCTCTCCTCCCCCCAGCTCAGGATATTCCCCTCTCCACCCACCCGTGTCCAAATTCTCTGGTGCCAAACCTCAGAATGCCCGGAATGGCCCCCTGGGCAGGTGCCACCTCAGTCCTGGCCCTCAGCCTCCCCTCCCCCGCACCATGGCTGCTGTGGCAGAATTGCCTTAGTTGGGAAGGGACTAGGAAGGAGATCAGGCTTAGGGAGCAAAGCCTCCGCAGCTACCCCCATCCTCACCATCATCTCCGTGCTCCCCCACTGCTCCCCACCAGCTGGCCCAGAAGTATGACCTCCAGCGGGAACAGGAGCTTCGAGAGTGGATCGAGGGCGTGACAGGTCGTCGCATAGGCAACAACTTCATGGACGGTCTCAAAGACGGCATCATTCTTTGCGAGTGAGTGCAGCACTGGTGGCCCAGACCCTGATAGGGCTGCCACCCAACCTGGCCGGGTACTCATCTCTCCCCACCAACTCATCAACTGACCATGAGCTGGGCTGGGCGCTTTACATCTCAGACCTTGAAACAGTCCTCTGAGGTGGCAAATAATCACTGTGCCCATTGAACAGGAAAGAAAACAGGCTCAGTTAGGTAAAACGCATGACCCAAAGTCCCACGCTGTTCCAACAGATATGACTCCAGGTTCTGGCCTCTTAACCACCATGCATATAAGACACATAGGCCCATCTATGGCCTCCAGTGTCCCAATAAAGAGCGGTCACAGATAAAAGACAACAGGCAACAACAGCTGCCCATTGCTGGCGTGATGACATGAGAGATGTACTATGTAATCTGAGTAGGCCCTTTCTACTCTTCTCAGAACTTAAATCGCTGAGGAAAATGCAAATCCTCACAGCTCCCAAGCCCCGATTCCAGATACAACTGAAACCCTAATGCTGGGTGGGCCCTGAGCCCAGCAGGGGTCCTGTCTGCCCCTCTGAGTCTGACCCAGGGCAGGGTGACTGTGAGGGCCAGAATGTGCCCTTGGGAAAGGTTCCTAAAGGTGCAGCCTTACCATGCCCTAGGTACCCCGAAAGGGGAGGGGGGAGGGTATCTTGTTCTACCATATCCACTGGGAACGAGGAATACGGGGACAGCCTGGTGTCTCACCTCAGACAGGGCTGCTTGGCCTGAAGGGTACAGAGGCACTCACGCCCTCAGTCCATTTATGGGGCTCCTGCTGTGTGCCAAGACTAGGCCCTGGGGATAGTGGACGGGAAACAGCCTTGGAGCTCACACGGAGCTTTAGTCATAGTGGGGGAGACCGATGGAATAATCGAAGAAATAATCACACACCTGCCTGTGGTGGGAAGTGCTGTGGAGAAGAGTCGGCGGGGAATGGTGGGAGCTGGGTGCGGTGAAGTGTTGCTGCTTTGGACAGTGGCCTGGGAGCTCTTTCTGAAGCCATAACATTTGCACAGAACCTTGGTTGATGTGAAAGAGGGAGCTGGGTGGGCATCTGTTAGGCAGAAGGGACAGCCAGTGCAAAGGCCCTGAGGTGGGAATGTGCCTTGCATGTTCCGGGAACAGTGAGGAGTGGCTGGCACAGAGTGATTCGGGGAGTGGAGGGAGTAAGCTGGGGACCAGGTGACATGGGGCCTTTTAATGATGCTATGGAGTTAGGAAACTCTGGGAACATTTTGAAGTGGGGAGTAACTGGTATTGTTTTGAAAAGGCCATTCTAGCTGTGAGATGCAGAAAGGTCTGCAGGGGATGAAGCGGAAGCTAGGAGCCCACGGGGTGGCGTTGCAAGAGTCCAAGAGACAGAGATGCTGGGGCTCATAGCAGGGTGGTGGGAAGCTGTGGCCTCCTGGATGTCTCCAGAAGGCAGAGCAAGAGGCCTTGCTGAGGGATAGGATGTGGGGGTGAGAGAAGGCAGAGGAGAGTCCAGGGCAAGTCTGAGGGCTGTGCCTGCGCCTCTGGAAGAGTGGGTTTCCTAAGGTGAGAGGAAGGAGAGTCTGTCCTTCTCCTCCGACTCCTTGTAGGTTTATCAACAAGCTCCAGCCAGGCTCTGTGAAGAAGGTCAATGAGTCGACCCAAAATTGGCACCAGGTGAGCCCAGACTCTTTTTAACTCTTTCAATCCCTGGCTACAGTCCCCCAAGCCCCCCACCCCTGCCCCACTACTCACCACTGCCTGCTCCCCTCCAGCTGGAGAACATAGGCAACTTCATCAAGGCCATCACCAAATACGGGGTGAAGCCCCACGACATCTTCGAGGCCAACGACCTGTTTGAGAACACCAACCACACGCAGGTGCAGTCCACCCTCCTGGCCCTGGCCAGCATGGTGAGTGTGGGTCAAGGGCGGGCATGGGGGGCAGGGGGACTGCTGGTGGACTTGGCTGGGATTTGAGTGGGGCCACTCGGATCCCAGAGCCCAGGGTGGGTGGGAGAGGGAGAGCAGGTGCTGGGAGGGAACAGTGCAGCCCAGAGGCTCACGTCAGTCCCTGCCCCCCTCACCCTCCCCCAGGCCAAGACAAAAGGAAACAAGGTGAATGTGGGGGTGAAGTACGCAGAGAAGCAGGAGCGGAAATTTGAGCCAGAGAAGCTACGAGAAGGGCGGAACATCATTGGGCTGCAGGTACTGCCCCTTCCTCATCAGGTCTTGCTGCTGCTGAGCCAAGGCAGGTCAAGGAGACCAGGAAGGTACCCCGGGCCCTGAAGGCTTTGGGAGACAGCATATTTGGCCTTAACTAAATTATATGCCAGGCACTGTGCTCTAACTCCGTACCCTAACTCAGTCCTGAAACAGCTCTACAGGGTGGGTACTGTCAACATCGTATCCTTCACACAGATGAGGAAACAGGACTGGAGAAGCTAGCTCACTGGTCAGAATCACGCAGGGGATGAGTGGCCAGGCTGGGACCCTGGAAGTTGGGGCCCCAGTGCTCTGAGCCACTCTCTTGGCTTCAGTTGCCAGTCTGTAGCCTGAGAGTGGAAACGGTGCCTTGTCAGAGGGCTGTGTGAGTGTCCACTGACATTGCTATATCTTGGGGTCCGTGGCGAGGCTCTATAACCCTCGATGTGACTCTCCTTCCGGCTTCCTAGATGGGCACCAACAAATTTGCCAGCCAGCAGGGCATGACAGCCTATGGTACCCGGCGCCACCTCTATGACCCCAAGCTGGGCACGGACCAGCCCCTGGACCAGGCAACCATCAGCCTGCAGATGGGTACCAACAAGGGAGCCAGCCAGGTGTGTGGGGAGCCATGGGGTGGGCTGGCGGTCCCTTGCCCCTTGCCATGCCCATGGCCTGACCACACTGCCTTCTGCAGGCTGGCATGACTGCGCCTGGGACTAAACGGCAGATCTTCGAGCCGGGGCTGGGCATGGAGCACTGTGACACGCTCAACGTCAGCCTGCAGATGGGCAGCAACAAGGGGGCCTCGCAGCGGGGCATGACGGTGTACGGGCTGCCACGCCAGGTCTATGATCCTAAGTATTGCCTGACGCCCGAGTACCCGGAGCTGGGCGAGCCTGCCCACAACCACCACCCACACAATTACTACAACTCTGCCTAGGGCCCTGGGCCTCTGCCTTTTCCCCCAGGGAGGCTGGCTGCTGCTCTCAGCAGGGCCCAGCCCGGCTCGCTGACCCCCGCCGCTGCATGGCGCCTTCCAGCCCCCTGGCACCTGCCTACAGGGTTAGCATTCTGGGCGGGGGAGGAGCAAACTGGGGGCCTGTGGGGGGAAGGGAGCCCTCCTCCCTGGAGCACTGCAGGGTCCAACATCAAGCCGGGTGTTCCCAACAGCACTCAAAGGATGCACTGAGCAAAGCTACCCCGGCTGTCCCCCCACTCCTTCACAAGTGGGTCTCCCCAAGACAAAAAGCCCCCCGAGCAAAGCCCCCAGAGCCCAGATTCGATCCTCCCTCATCCCATCCCCGCAGTGGGAGCCAACTGCATGCCCAGAGACGCAGCGGACACACGCGATTTGGTTTGCAGCAACTGGCATACGTGGATGTGATGGCGGCGTTTGTAACGCGAGCACTTTCTTTTTCTATTTCACTGGAGCACAATAAATGGCTGTAAAATCACCTGAGGACTCAGTCTGCTCTGTCCCGGAGCCCGCATGGCTTTTGCACATGCACAGACGGCCTTGCTCAGATATTCTCCATCTCCCGCACACAGATCTGCACAAGCACACACACACACACACCCTAAAATACACACAGAGTTCACAGCCACTCAGCTGGACCGAGGATAGGCACACACTCACACACAAAATCCACACACACTCACACACAAAATCCACACACACACACCACTTGGTGAGTATGGTGTGCACATGCTCTCTGCAGCCTTAGGCACACAGATACTCACACACATGCAGCACACATTCCCACATAAACAGATACATAACACATCCTCACACATGTACACAACACACGCACACGCTCAGTACCTATGTACCTTCCAGGGGGCCTGTGGGTTGCAGTAAGAAAGAGCCCAAGTGCTGGGATAGGCTAGATGGGACCAGATGACCCTGGGCAAGTAACTTCCCTTCTCTCTGCGTTTTCCATCTGGAAAGTGGGTACAGTGAGAACGGGACCATGAGGAAACTTAAATAATGGCTCCAGATGGGATGACATGTGGCACTAACCAAAGAGAATGAATGATAAACAGGGTCCTGGAGGTCCCTGTGGGCAGAGGGAACCCTTTAGTCCTGGAGTGGAGTTTGGTGGGGGAGGGGACAGGGCAGTGGGGTAGGATGGGCATTTCGGGGGCCCAGGGTAATGGTCCTTTACCGACTGGCACAGAGTGGCTGAGTCTGCAAGGCATGGCTGCCTCGTGTGCCCACTTACTCTGCTTTCCCCTTAGGGCTCATCCAGAGTCTCGCCTGCCATTCCAAGACCCTAGCGATCTGTGGACAGGGCCCCAAATCTCCCTACGTTTAAGAGGGGACCCTGTTCTTCCATGATATGGGCCCCAGCCATCCCTCTTACAAGCCACTAAACTGTCAAGGTTCCAAGGAGAGGATGCAGCCATGCAGGAGTCACAGAGCAGCCTTCTCCCCTTCCCTCCCCAGGGAAGGGGACGAGGCTGGAACATGGGGACCTGCAGAGACAGACACCAGAAGACCCACACAGTGCTATGCACAGACACACATAGGCCCTGGGGCCTCGTAAACTGGATTCCAGGCGCTCTTGGCCAGGCTACTCTGAGTCCTGTTCTCCCAGGCTGTGCTGAGGATCCATGCTGGCCCCAGGCCCTGCCTCCTAGAAAAACAGCACCATATTAGCACTTGGCCTGTGAGACTGGGGTAGGCGGGCCCTGAAAGCCAGAGGAATGAGCCCCCTTCCCCTGGACACCGGAGGCAACCTCCCCCAACCCAGGCCCATCCACCACTGCCCATGTCTGCTGGCTCCTGTCTGGGCCAGAGTACCCTACCTGGGACCTTGGGAGGAGGAGGTGGAGCACCAGGAAGGGGCATGTCAGGGCAGATGGACCTGCAGGGGCACGTGCTAGACCCAGCGGCTGGCCCGGTGGTCAGGCCTTTCAGCAAGCTCAGTCTCTTCCTCGGCTGCTCATATCCTTTGCTACCTGTGTCCCAGTCGCTCAAATTGTGCCAAGCACCACGGTCGGCACCTCCATCTCAGCATGGCCCCAGGAAGAAAGTTCTGTCATCTTCCCACTGTACCAATGATAAATCCAAAGCACAGGTCCACAGCTGCCCAGCCTCACAAGGCCCAGTGGGGAAGATGCGTCTGCCCCACACCTCCATACCCATGAGACCATCTGAGGCCACCAGGCAGTGCCCAGGTGCTCACCCTCAGCCACGTTCAGAGGAGTGTTTTTTCCAACATTATCAAGCTTTCTTTTTTTGACACCATCTACCTGGAGATAGCATCAGATCCCACAGCATAAAGGGTTGGTCTTACAAGATGGCCCCTCCCTCACTTCAGCTGCCACTTGCAAGTCCAGGTTGTCATCTGTGCTTCTGACCAACTGGCAATAGATCAGGTTTTCTCACGACCCCTTCCTTGGGTTTGATTTACAAGAGTGGATCACAGAACTCAGAAACATTTTATTAGATCAGTGGTTTATTATAAAAGAAACAGCCAGATGGAAAGATGTCGGGCAAGGCATGGCAAGGGGTACGGGGCTTCTATGCCCCCTCTGAGCCCTCACTCCCAGCACCTCCTCGTGCTCATCAACCCGGAAGCTCATCAAATCTTGTTGACGTTTATAAGAGAGCTTAATCTGGAGCTGCCCCCTTGCATTCCCAGAGGTCGGTGGGTATGGCTTTGAGTTCCCACTCAGTACTTGCTTGGTCTTTCTGGTGACGAGCCCCATCCTGGGTGATGGCTTAGGAAATTCCAAGGGTTTTAGGAACTCTGTGCCAGGAACCAGGGACAAAGACCAATATTTATTGCAGCACACACCTGCCTCTGGTACCACCTCCAGCCTTTGAGACTCCTCACCACACCTGCACAAGGGCCCCTTTTGTGGACTCTTATTCTTCTTCAGAGCTCCCAGCGCCCCCAGTCCCCAGGAAGCCACGAGCTGTTCCCTCAGCCTGGACCCTGGGCTGGGAAGCCAGGTCTCCCAGGTTCAAGGCCCAGCTATGCTGCCTTCTGGCTGTGGGACCTCCATCTCTGGTCGGTTTGCTCCTCTCTGAGCACCTGCCTTACAGGGCGGCTGTTGGGATGTGGTGGTAAGGCAGGTAAGCCTGAGAGCAGTGTCTGGCACAGGGTGGCCCTTGAGTGTTACCTCCTCCAAGCCAGGAAGCCTTCCCTGACCTCTCCCCGCAAGGATTTGTCATCCTGTTTCTCATTGGGACTAAACGTATGCCCAGATGTCTATGGCATCATCGGTGTCCCTTGCACCCAGCACTGTCCTGGTTTCACCCTGAATGCTTGTCGAGTGGACAAACGTTGGACAGTTTTAGCCCACAAAGTCAGTCACTCCCTCCCCCTTCATTGAGTCCTTGGGGCTGACCGGAAATCAGAGAGCAGGAAGTTTGCATTGGCTGCTTTATTTAAGGGCTACTGACCAACAGTTGTCCTGGCCCCAGCCCCTCCCTCCTCTATAAAACCAAGTAAACGTGAACAGGGCCACCCTGCCAGGGCCCAGCCACAAGCCTTGGATCCTGGGCTTTGCATTCCAGGCCATAGGTCTTGGAAGGCAGGGAACGAGGGTAGGCAATCCAGTTCAGACCGGCAAGGTGGTGGGTGGGTGGGTGAGGAGTCTGGAGAGTACCGAGGCTGTCTCTGTGGGGCTTGCCCTCACTCAGGATGTCAGGATACTGGCCCCTGGATGAACCAGGGCCCCAGAGCCAGAGGGGTCAGGGGCCAGAAGAGGGAGCAAGTCAAAGGCTTTCAGAGCCAAGGGAGGCAGCTCAGGTCCCCAGGGCCCAGCAACCCCTCAACTTCACCCCCGGCCCATAAGCATACCCCCACAGCCACACTTGCAGTCACACATTCACACCCACACCCGCTCCACACATGCACACATGCAAAGAGGGCTTCAAGGGCCCTGGACCCACACCCTTGACCCCAGGAATGTCTCTGGATTGGTACCCAGCGGACAAATCCACAGCAGCAGGGATGCCAAGGGGGTGGGCCCTCTGTGTTGCTACTGATTGGCTGCCTCGCAGGCGTCTATCCAATCACTATACACGTCCACTGGTTCTGACAGATCTGAGCAGCTGAGGTCAAGGGCAACCACAGGCATCAGACCCTTTCCTGTATACACCTCATGGTGGTGTCAGCTAGACCCCTGCCCTGTGCACTATGGGTGGCCACAAAGCAGGGCCAGAGGTGCATGGGCTGGACTCTAGCCCCTTACCCTTGGGCAGCCCACCCTGGGCAGAGCAGTTCTGACCACCCCACCCCTATCCCTACCCCGTGGACAAAAGCCAGTTTCCCAAGGATACATGTGATGGGTGTCTGGAATTCCTCTAGGCACACAGTACAAGAGATGACTCCAGTGTTACGGGCACGGTCCCTGGAACAGCAGATAGAGGGACTGGTGAGTGAAGAGGCCTGTGTCTACGAGGGAGCCACTTTCTGACTGATGGAGGGGAAGGGAAGCCCCGCGAGGAGGGATTCTGCCCCCCACCCCCAACTCACATTTTCACGTCACAAGATTTCTCATGGTTGCAGAAGGGGCAAGTGAACTGGGTCTCTAGGGTGCCTGTCATCTTCTTTTTCGGGGGTGGCTTCCGCTTTGACTTTCTGCGCCCCATGTCTGTGGGAGGGTGAACCTGTGGGGAGACGGGTGCAGAAGTCAGTGAGTTATGGGACCCACAAGGCCCTCCAGATGCTCTAGGAAGCAGGCTGGGAAGATGACCCACAGTGATGGGAGGATTTCCATGATGGCATCCTCTGGGCACAGTGGACAATCCCAGTGCACTCTGGGTGGAAGGGGTAGGAGCAGGCTCTGGGTTCTAACCCTGGCCTTCAACTTACTGCATCACTCTGAGTAGGTCACTTAATCTCTCTGTGCCTCTCCTTATCTATAGAAATGAGATTGCTACCTCAGAGGGGCTGACATGACAAATTACAAATGCCTGCATAGTGTCTGACCCATCCGTTGCAGCACCTTCACAGGAAGCCACTGTTCTGGTGAGGATAACATAAGGGACTCTGTGGCAGGCCAGTTGCCCAGAGCTGGGCAGAGCCTAAGTGCTTGGGAGCCAGTGATTTTAAGAGCG